CCAGTGCAGACAAACAGACACACAGGGGAAAGGGGGGGCGGGGGATGATGAGTGAATGGGCGGGGACAGATGAGGGGTGAGTGGGGGAAAGCTGAGGGGAGAGTGAAGGGGGATGTTGGGTGTCAGGATGTAGAGAGGGGGGAGGAGAGTGAGGAAGATGAAGGGTGATGGGGTTGCGGTGGTTGGGGAGGGGAGGGAGATGAGGGGTGGGTCGGGAGGGAGAGGAGGCGTGAGGGGGGGGGGGGGGGGGGGGGGGGGGGGGGGGGGGGGGGGGGGGGGGAGGGGGGGGAATTGAGGTAAGGTGGGTGGAGGGGAACACGGGTGAATCTGAATTGCGGGAAGAGGGGAGGTGGGGGAGAGATAGGGAACGAGGGGTGAGTGGAGGGGAGATGAGGGTGGGCGTGAAGGAAGAGAGCAAGAGAGGGCGGCGGTGATATGAAGGGGGGCTGGGAGGAATGAGAGAGAGAGAGGGGGGAATGAGGGGAGGGCGGGAAAGATGCGGGGAGAGCGGAGAAGATGCGGGGAGAGCGGAGAAGATGCGGGGAGAGCGGAGAAGATGCGGGGAGAGCGGAGAAGATGCGGGGAGAGCGGAGAATCGGAGATATGAATGATGTTTTTAGGCTAGGTCATGAGGTGAAAAGGAGAGAAGGGGAAGCGGGGAAATGAGGAGGGGAAAGGGGAAAATTAGGGGACATTAAGGGGAAAATGGCCGCTTCACCCGTTACCTTTCGCGGATCCTCTCCGTCCTCACTTTCCCCGTCCATTCTCCCGTTACTCCATTCTCCCATTTCTCCCCGCCTCTCACCTCCCGCCCTCCTTTTTTCCGTTTTGCGTCCGGCTACCGTCCACGCGCTCTCTAACGACGATTCGCGCTGCGTTACTTATGCGTTTCAAAGCGACGCGACTAATTCGTCCGTGGACGAACGTCTTCCTTCCGCAGTTCGTAAGTAAAAAAAAGTCAGATCTGGAGGCGTGCAACCTAACGCGGTGGGGCGACTAACTCCAATGTCTGGTAATGTCTGGTGTCCAGATCTGATTCTGCTAGCACGCTACCAAACGCGCGAAGCAACAATAATAAAACTCGCTGCCATAACAAGACAATGCCCTTTCGCTCCACGTCGACTACAGCGCTGAGATCTGACTCTGACTAAACAAGAACAGTGATCTAACTAGATGAGAGAGGGTCAGGTGAAACTACCACTGAATGTAAGTCGACCCTCGAATAATTACATCTTGACACAGTCAGGTGAGAGAGGTTTAGGTGTGGCAGGTTCGGCAATTTGAGGTTCGGATTGTTGGTAATGCCGTGGTGGATGTGCCATGGTGGAAAATCTCAGGGCTTGTTCGTAGTTTTGACACCAGTGTCGTTTTGCCATTTTGACACGAGCATACATTGTTGGCAGAGTGTCAAATTTTCGCAGATTGATAGCCAGTACAGCTAGTCGGATGCATTTTGACTCTGACAGAGTCAACGCCTACAACCCAGTCAGGATCGTCGCAGCTGCAATCTTCGTCACCCCTATTACCCAATCAAGTCGCACCGTCACCTACTTGAGACCTCACAGCTAATTGAGAATGTCGCTGGCTTGGCCATGCACCAATCATTGAATACACGAGTAGGTCCCAACTAATCAGAATGGTCGTTGATGATCCAACGCCCGCTTCGTGTTGACACGCATGCTACAGTGATTGACACGCAAAATCAGTAGCGCTTCGTGTTGACACGCATAAGCAGCTGGTGTCAAAACCACGAACAAGATCTCAGCCGAAATGGGTCGTCAAGCCTGACGACCCTCCGACGACTTGACGACATGTTGCCCCGGGCGGAAAAAAAACTAAAACCCCATCGGATGGCATGCCATCCGAGGGAGCCTCAACCCTAAACACCATGCCTCCAGGCGTTTAGGGTTGAGGCTCCCTGACCGGATGCATGCCCGTCTGGGGTTTATTTTTTTTGCCCGCGGGCAGCGAGCTCCCCCGGGCGGACTCGCTTGTCCGCTGAGGTTTTTTCGGCGGCAAAAACACCCTCTCTATTGGCTCACATGAATCTCTTCATCCAACCATTGTTTTCCAGTTGCCCCGGTCAGGTTTAGCGAGTCAGCTGAACTTTTCCGCGCCACTCACGATTCCCATAACTAAAGCCGTCCCGCGCCTCACGCAAAACTCGTTCGCTCAAAAAAACTCATGGTCCAACTAAAGAAAGCGCCACGTCAACCACCTCCTAAAAGTTCGAGCCTGCCCTTGCTGTTGCGCATCAGAAGCACGTCGAACAACCCTTCCCAACCGGAAGTACGCGTCCTTGGCAAACGCGTTTGCATACGAGCAAGTCAAACGAATCTGCGTTTTCTAACCAATCTGCATTTTCTAACCAGATTGTGTAAAATGAATGCACTGGACAGTTTGGGTTGGCCTGGATGGATAAGGTGGGCCCAGGTCAAAATGTTCCCCACGCGCCACTCGACTAAAGTCCCCTGCCACAATCTCGGCGCGACATTTCATTGGTCCATGACACACAAGCTACCAAACCTCCTCACCGCTGCGGTCTGCTGCACCACCACCATCCATCCATTCACATCACACTGTACTTTTCGCACCGCGCACCCAGCCCAGTGTCAGTATTTCCCTCGCTTCCAGTGGTGGCAGCACATCACCAGTATTCCCCTCGCTACCGCGTATCACCGCACTGCACCCGGGTAGATGCTATCTTGATCCAGCACATTCGGGTTGAAACTGTGCTAAGGCGCACCGCGCTAGCCGCCAGTCAGAAAGCCTGGAACTGAATTCAATCGTCCCTGATCAGCAGCATGCCTTTCCTTCAGTTTCAGCAGCTACCTTCTGCTTGCAGCTCTACGGACCATCTCATCCGGTCCGCATAGTTCAGCGACGTTGCGTTTGTGACGTCCATTTTCTTCATTCTCACACTCAATGAAGGATTTTCGGTCCAATCCAATGGGCTACATTATGCACTTCAGGCTATAGCTTACCGAGCAACCGAAGCAACCTGAACTGGCCCGGACAGTACACGATGAAACCCATGGCAGGCTGCGGCGTTGAGTTAAGGGTGGGGTGGGTGGGTAGTCGTGAGGAGCGAGCTAAAGCGTGCCTTGGGTCTAATCGTGTACTGCGCCGAATATCGCGGCAACCTTTTCACCGCGATATCATCTTTACGCTCTTCAAGAGCTTCACTCTCTTCAATGATCTCCGCTCCAAGATCGTCGCAGCAAAAAGAGCCTCAACTTGAAGGATTCCCATGGCGTCTCCCCTGCTGGCTTAAGGTGCTGCTAGCGCGGCCTCCTCCTCAGCTGCACAAAGACGACCGACTTAGAGACGGTCAAGTGGAGGTAAGCTCAACGTTTTTCAACTTCTACCTACAGCCTCTTTTGGTCGGTTGAAGGCTTTAAGATTCGTTGGCGGTTTTCCGATTCTAACTCTTTTCCTTTTTTTTTTCCTTGCAGACAATGACAACTTCTCATGCAGAAAGGCTGGAACTGAATTCAATCATCCCTGATCAGCAGCATACCTTTCCTTCAGTTTCAGCAGCTACCTTCTGCTTGCAGCTCTATGGACCATCTCATCCGGTCCGCATAGCTCAGCGACGTTGCGTTTGTGACGTCCATTTTCTTCATTCTCACACTCAATGAAGGATTTTCAGTCGAATCCAATGAGCTGCATTATGCACTTCAGGCTACAGCTCTACCGAGCAACCTAAGCAACCTGTAGTAGCCCGGACAGTACACGATGAAACCCATGGCAGGCTGCGGCGTTGAGTTAGGGGTGGGGGGTGGGTAGTCCGTGAGGAGCGAGCTAAAGCATGCCTTGGGTCTAATCGTGTACTGCGCCGAACATCGCGGCAACCTTTTCACCGCGATATCATCTTTACGCTCTTCAAGAGCTTCACTCTCTTCAAGAGCTTCGGAAGCTTCAATGTTTCCGATGGCAACCTTTCACCGCAACTGATACATGATCTCCTCTGCAAGACCTACATGGCGGTCAAGTGGAGGTAAGCTCAACTTTCTTCAACTTCTAACCACAGCATCTTTTGGTCGGTTGAGCATTAAGATTCGTTGGCGGTTTTCCTAGTAAGATTCTAACTCTTTTCCTTATTTTCTTGCAGACAATGTCAACTTTTATGCAAATCGCTGAGGACACAACCTTAACTCAAGTCAAGATGGCGGAGGCCGGAGGAATTGAAGCCCAAGTCAAGATCTTTCTGTCCCTGTCGCCAAGAGAAGACTTTCCGTCGCTGTCACCAAGAGAAGTCGACCTAGGCAAGTGCAGTTTGCAACGATTTTCCATCCTGCTGATTTGTTTTTCTTGAGATTTGTTTAGTACAGTGTACTGAACTGATGCCTTCTTCCCTGCAGACCTCTTGGCAACTCGAAAGCGACGATTGAAAGCGCCGACTTGAGGGCAATTCAAGATCGCCGACGCAACCAATAATCTATGGCGTGTTTCTCGCACCGGGGTCTCCGCTCAAAGCTCTTCAAAAGCTTCAAGGTGCTGCGGGTCGGCCGGCCTCTCCCGGGAAGGAGACGGTCGAGTGAAGGTAAGTGTAATGTTCTATTTCTCCTACAAGCGTTTTTTGCTCGTTCGTTCAACTTCTTTCGTAAAAACGGTTTGACGTGTTCTAACTCGTTTTTTGTTTTCCTGCAGAGTATCAACCTGAAGCCCCAAGTCAAGATCGCCCATTGGCTCTCACCTGACAGTCGCGAACCTGAAGGCCGGGTAAAGACCGGCTCGCCAACGGCGGACTTGTTGAGGTAAGTGAATCATTGACTTGTCTAAGTGATACCTCTGGTTTAAGCTATAAGTGACACCTCTGAGTTTTCCTCATCACTTGTCTAAGTACTAATCTGTTGCCTTGTCTTTTCAGACCTCGGCGGCCCTCTTGGCGACTCGAAAGGGACTGCGCGACAACGACGATCGCCGACGCAGCGACGATCACGGCTGAATTTCGGCTGCATTTAGGCTTGTCATCCTCGCCGTCAAGATGCGTCGAGATGGTAAGTGAAGCCCTTTTCGTAATTGACGAATAGAACTAACGAATAGTTCTTTTCGGCAACATATTCTCTAGTACTAACGTGTTTCTATATCTCCCTGCAGACCGTGCATTTACCGTGGACCCTGCGCTTCATTGCCGTTGACGGATTAAGCTACGAGCTACGGGACCCGAAAGTCGCATCACTGGTCAAGATCCGCTCGCCAACGGTGCGTCTGTTGCAGTCTCACTTGTGTAAGTTTGTTCTTTAGTTTGTTCTAACTGTGGTTCTTGGTTCATAGTTCTTGTTTCTGTCTCACTTGTACCAATATGGCGCGTTCTTCTTTTCAGGCCTTGTACCCGAAAGCGTCTCGAAAGCGTCTCTACGACGCAGCAAAGATCGCGACCTTTCGTCATGTCCTGGCCGAGATGGGTCGAGAAGGGCCGAGGTATGAAGAAATCCTTTTCGTGATTAACGTATATTCGGCAACGTATTTTCCTAGTACTAACGTATATCTCCATTTTCCCTGCAGACCTTGGCGACGACTACTCATTGACTGCTCTACCGTCGTCATTGACTGCTCTACCGTCGTCATTGACTGCTCTCGCAATGGCGATCAGCAACGCGGCGAGTCGCTAGCGGACGACACGAGCGTACGGCGATGAACGATGACGGACGGATTGGCCCGCGAGTTTCTACCAGCAGTGCGTTGATCGGGTTGAGGCTTCGTCTTGGTCGTTGACTCCGTCTTGGCGGCTTCGTTTCCGGTTCTTGACGGTTTTTCTACGCTTTCTTGATGTATCGTTCATCTTGCATTCTTTCCCCCAGACGCACGGCGACGCACAGCGACTCATGGCGACGCATGGCACATCGGACGCGGCGCTTCAACCGTCGCAGATTCGCCACCAGCAGCGGCTCCCTCGGGATGAGGTAAGCTTAATCTATCCTGTCTTGGCGGCTACCTTTCGTATCGCTCCGTCTCCTTCACGGATTTCCGAATCTTGACGGTACCGTTCTTGTTTATCTTCCTCCAGACGCATGGCGGCGCACGGCAATTGAACGCTTGGCGGCTACTACTACCAGCAGCGCCTCGCACAGACTGAGGTAAAGTCTTCAATCCTTAGCGCCTCCCTTTTCAGCTGGCATTGGCGGTTACGCTAGTTACGCTTCGTTTCGTGTCTTTTCCTCGTTTCGTGACTTTCTTCCTCATCGACGGATTCGTGTTCCTCTGCAGATCCTGACCGTCCGTCTGCCATCCTCACGGATGGCGACGCAACGCGCATGGCGAAGTGCGGTGACGGATGGCGACGCTTCGAGCTTGGCGAGGCTTCTTCGGGCGGATGGCGAGTCATGCGGGCGTACGGAGCGTGTCACGGGCGGATTGCGCGTCTCATTGGCGCATGGCGCTTCTCGGGCCGGCGGATGGCGCGTCTTGCGAGCGGACAGAGCGTGCCATGGCGGACGCATGGCGAGGCTTCTTCGGGCGGACAGCGCATCTACCGAAGCGCTTGGCGGCGCTTCTCTCAGCCGTGGTGGTTTTTTTCCTGGCGGTCAACGGCGGTCCTGGCGGTGACAACGGCGGTCCACAGTGCTGCTGGCGGCGACAGCGGCGGTCAACGGCGGTCCTGACGGCGACAACGGCGGTCAACGGCGGTCCTGGAGGCGACAACGGCGGTCCACGGTGCTGCTGGCGGCGACAACAGAGGTCAACGGTGCTGCTCGCGGCAACAACGGCGGTCAACGGTGCTGCTGGCGGTGACGGCGGCGGTCAACGGTGCTGCTGGCGGCGACGGCGGCGGTCAACGGCGGTCCCGGGGGCGACAACGGCGGTCAACGGCGGTCCTGGCGGCGACAACAGCGGTCAACGGTGCTGCTGGCGGTGACAACGGCGGTCAACGGTGCTGCTCGCGGCGATAACGGCGGTCAACGGTGCTACTGGCGGTGACGGCGGCGGTCAACGGTGCTGCTGGCGGTGCGACGACGGCGGTCAACGGCGGTCCTGGTTTTTTTTCCCGTTTTTTCTTCGTTTGTTTCGTTTCTCTCGCATTTCCGCTCTCTGGTTTCGTTCTTCTCTTTTCCGTGGTCCCTTGATGTGTGGGATCGCCATGTGAGCAGATTCCAGTCAAGAACACGGGGAGCCTGCTGGGTTGTGCGAGCGGAGGGGGAGGGCCCCCCCCTCCCGCTCCACTGCCCCTTCCGGCACTGCACGGCACGGCACGGCACGGAACGGCACGGCACGGCACGGCACTGCACGGCACGGCACGCACGGCACTGCACGGCACGGCACGGCACTGCACGGCACGGCACGGCACGGCACTGCGGGAGCGGCGGGAGCGGCAGGAGCAGCAGGAGCGGCGGCGGTCAACGGCGGTCCTGGCGGTGACAACGGTGGTCAACGGTGCTGCTGGCGGCGACGGCGGCGGTCAGCGGCGGTCCTGGGGGCGACAACGGCGGTCAACGGCGGTCCTGGCGGCAACAACGGCGGTCAACAGTGCTGGTGGCGGCGACAACGGCGGTCAACGGTGCTGCTGGCGGTGACGGCGGCAGACAACGGCGGTCCTGGCGGCGACAACGGCGGTCAACTGTGCTGCTGGCGGCGACAACGGTGGTCAACGGTACTGCTGGCGCCGACGGCGGCGGTCAACGGTGCTGCTGGCGGTGACGGCAGCGTCAACGGTGCTGCTGGCGGCGACGGCGGCGGTCAACGGCGGTCCTGGCGGCGACAACGGCGGTCAACGGCGGTCCTGGCGGCGACAACGGCGGTCAGCGGTGCTGCTGGCGGCGACAACGGCGGTCAACGGTGCTGCTCGCGGTGACGGCGGCAGTCAACGGTGGTCCTGGCGGCGACAACGGCGGTCAACTGTGCTCCTGGCGGCGACGGCGGCGGTCAACGGTGCTGCTGGCGGCGTCGGCGGCGGTCAACGGTGCTGCTGGAGCATGGTGGAGCGAGGAGCTTGACTCCCCCCCCTTCCCTCTTCTTCCCATCCCCCTGCCCATTTGCAGATTTGGCGGGAGGAATCTGCCTGCCCTGCGGTACTGTGAGTGGGTTTGGGTGGTAGGGTCGTGTCACAGACAGAACAGTTAGACCGCGGCCGCGGGGGTCAGGGATGTCGGTCCAGGTATAGTCTTTGTGCCTCCCGCGCTTCACATCTGGACAACCTGACAACCTGACAACAGAGGAGCTGAGCTGAGGTGTTACAGTAATAATTTTAACCTTCCCATCCTTTTCTGACATTTTTATCCCCCCCCCCCCCCCCCCCCCCCCCCCCCCCCCCCCCCCCCCCCCTCTCTCACAAACAGGCCCCGCACGATTGACCTCCACCTCAACGCGGTGTGCGGGTGTAACGCTAGAGGCATTTGCCTCTAGCGGCCAAGAGGGGTCAGGAAGAAACCAAGATCAAGGAAGAACCAAGATCGAGCAGCTGTGGATGGCGCGAAAGGAGCTGTTTAGTCATAGGAACTTCGGCATGCTTATAGCAAAGCTATTGGATGTATTTGAATATATTTAGGATAATTCATGGTTCTCTAGGACCTGGTGGTTTACACCCTCGGTTCAATTTCCACATTGCATACAGCAACAGAACTTCCAAAGCACAACCAGCATTAACGCAATCACAATTCCAGAGCACCTGCAGCAAAGACAAGGGACCATCTGGATTCCTTGCACAACCCTTCCAACATCAGGTGAACGTCTGATAGTATAGTTCAACAGTGTACATACATGGAATGGTGATTGAGCCTACAGAGTCCTTACAGGGCACAACATTGTTTGTGGGATGTTCTGAATTTTAACATCAGGTAAGCAGACTACCTGCAATTCCGTGCAACAAAGCGCACGCTGATTGCAGTCATCTGAACATTTGCAGCTGCCAGTCGCACGGTCATGTGTTGTAGACCCTGGAATGGAAGGAAACACAACATAGATGTATTCAATTGACCAGGCTAGGGCGAATTTCCGCATAATGGCAATGGCATAGTGAGGAAAAGGCAAGCCTTTTCGATAAGCATGGATTAAGAGGGCGTACCTTGGGATAGGCTGATATGATGCCCTTGACTTGGATCCACTTGCCGTGAGGTGGATTCATTTTCCCAGAGTCCCTGGTACAGAAAAGAACAAAGGGGTGAAGGGCAGTGGAGAATAAAAAACAATATGATGGATATGCAGAAAGAAAGAATATGTCAGATGGGAATCGTACGGCTCATGACATGGTAGGCCAGAGGGACAATCACATGGGAATACATGAGATGTGAACTCATGTGAAGCAAGAGGAACCATCACATTGGAACTCATGACATGTCAGATGGGAATCGTACGGCTCATGGACATGGAAGGCCATGAGGGACAGTCACACGAGACTTGCCAGAGGGCCAGAGGGACCGCTACATTGGAACACATGAGACGTGAACAGATGTGAACCATAACATGAAACTTGATGTGAAGCTAGATGGGCCATTACCTGGGAACGCATGAGAACTGATGTGAAGCATGAATGAAGGGTGGGTGGGGAGAGGAAAGGGGGGATGTGGGAGTGATGCAGGGTAGAGTAAGGAGAGTGGGGGGAATGGGGAAGTGGGGAGAGCAGGGAAGAGTGTTGGCAACGGGGGTTCAGTTGAAAGGGTGGGGTGGGCTAGAGCAGGGGAGGAGGGAGGTGGATGAGTGAGAGTAGGAAACCTTACCAGACGGAGAGAACTTGCTTGGAAGCATCCTTGAGCACTAACTGAATTCTGAACTGGCTGCGGCTGCTGTTGGTATTTCTGCTGCTGTTTCTGTTTCCGCTCCCTGCTGCTCCTCCCCCTTGTTCTTCTCCTCCCCTTCCTTCTCTTCCTGCTCCCCCTTCTCTTCCTGCTTCTGCTCCTCCTCTTCCTCCTCTTCCCCCTCTTAAGCCTCTTCCCCCTCTTCCTCCTCTTCCTCCCATTCCTCTTCCTCTTCCTCCTCTTCCTGCTTCTCCGACTGCTGCTGTTGTTGCTGCTGATGTGTTTGCACCCACGCCTCCCGCTGCCTCTCTGTTGCCATCACCTGACCGTGTCCCACCTGAAGTGCCACCTGAATTTCCACCTGAGCTGCTGCCAGAACCGTTATCCGAACTGCTACATGCAATGCCATAGGTACTGTTACCAGCGACAGGGTTCAAACCATTCACCTTGCCTTCCCCATCACCACCATTACCAGCACGATCTAACATCACATTGTCCCCTTTAGGAGCATCCTCTTTATTACTGGTAAGGCCCCGTGCCACGTGTACCTTGCTCGTGCTGTCGTTCCCCTCGCCTTCCTCCAGAGCAGAGCACCACGCAGAGACCTCAATCAGCGGGCAGCTATCCAAAAACGGGCAGCCGAAACTCTTCACCCCAATAGACTGCTGCAGAGTGCTGTAGCTCTCGCCATAAGAACACAGCACCATGCTGCTGCTTCCTTCGCTAAATTCACCCCCACCAAACCTCAACCCCCCTCCGGGGTAATTCACCCTGTGCTTCTCCACCTCTAGACCCCTCGTCCCGGGTAACCACGGCAGAGTATCCTTCTTTCCAATCACGACCTGCCGAACCAGTCTATGCGACCCCCCTCGATGGAACACCAAACCTCCCCCTTCTAACGCCCAATACGATCTTGCTGCGGATTCCTCCTCGGTCTCTCCCAACGTGAACAGTCGCTCTTTATAAATTCGACGCGACACCTCGAAATGCGGGTACGGGTCGTCGTCTAGCGCGGATTTTATTCGATCCATATCTATGTGGTCGATCCGCTCGAAGTGCGGGCAGCCGACGAGATTCGCGCCGAAGATCCGCTCGTAGAGGCCGCGCCAGCCGCCCAGAACGAGGTGCGTGTCGTCTTCTGTCAGCCCGTTGCCCTGACAGAACATCTGAAAGCAGGGGGGACACAAACGGAAATAGGGAACATAACAGAGAGGCTAGAGTGTCATTCAGCACGTTGCCTTGGCTGGACATCTGAACCGAGGAGAAAAGGAGGGCGGGGGAAGGACGGGAGATAAGAACGACGAAGGGAACCACCAGCGTAGAGGCCGCGTTCCCGATTGAGCACGCGAAATTAGTGCGATATCAGTGCGACATCAGTGCGACATCAGTGCGACATGGTGCGACATAATGCGACACAATGGATAGTTAGCGGAAAAAATGCACGCACCTGCCAGAGAAACGGGTCACTTGCCACTCTCCGCCACTGCCGGCAGGTTAACGCGCACGACGCCGCCACGTCAGCAGGCGGAAGCTTCTGGAAGATGAGCGACAAGATGGCCTCTGGTAGCCGTCGGATCACGCTTCGAGGCGCAAAGACGCGAACCCGTTTGGGCGTCCGTCCGGAGGAGGGTGACCACGACGGCACGGGCCGATTCTGATCGTCGGATCGATCGTGTTTACGGTCGAGATTGTTAACGAATTGTCCGAGCACAGAATGCGCTTTATCAATCGAGGCTTGCGAGTCCTCGTTACAATGAGTAACGTCCCTGTCTGTAATGAGGATTTTTGTGGCTTGAGTGTCAGTGGAGGGGAGTGAGGCGGACGTTGGAGGAGAAAACGTCTCGCTGACCGCGAACTCCGCCATTGTCAAACGAGGCCTTCAAAATGAAGCTTTTAATTGAGAGCTACGCCTCAAGTGATGCGAGCTTCCGATGCGATGTTTCAAAAGGGCTCGTAACGAGCTCGCTTCGAAATGAAGCTCAGTTCCTGGTGAAGCTTTTTCATGGAGGAGAAGCTGGTTTGCGAGTCGCGACGGGAAGCGTGGAGCGGGGGTGCAACTATCGTGGGAACGAGGGTGAGATGCGAGTCGAAAGGTTTGAAACCAGTGACGAGAGCTACGAACGAGCCAGTGAGCTCGAGGCGAGCTCCAGCAGTGAAGTGAAGGAAAACGAGCGAGCTTCCAGGCTAGGAATCAAGCGACGAACGATTAGAACTGTCTCGACCATGCGAGCTTGGAACGAGCCGGCGAGCTCAAGGCGAGCTCGAGTGGCGATGTCGAGGGGAGGACACGACGTACGCCTGAAACTGACTTTTGAGACGTCTCAACAGAGGACACGACGAACGCCTGAAACTGTCTCGACAATGCAGCCTCGAAGGTCAGAGAAAGGTCCGTTGCGCGTTGAAGGTCAGAGGAACGGCCATTATACAGTTGCTATCGCGAAAAGGAAAATGCAGCCTTGAAAGTGAGAAGAAAGGCCGTTGTGCAATCGCTACTACTAGTACGGAGAGACAATGCAGCCTTGAAGCTGTGAGTATCGGCTCCGTTGAAGCCTTTATGGCGGACCTTTCGACTGACGGGCTTTATACCATTATCACCCTGATGACGTGCGGTTGAGAAGAAAAGGCTCTGGAAGGGTCTCTCTCCTTGGAAGGAAGGCAGTTCGCATGGGAAGGGGGGGCATTGCGGCGTGGCGGCGTGGGGATCATCGAGCGCGCCGAGAATGGGAAATGCAGGTGCTTTATCCCTCTCGGCCTCTGCTTGCGCTGTGAGTCTGAGGTTCGCGGGCCTCTTCTCGTGACTCGCCTGGTCTGATCGAAAAATGCAGGCGGAAGGCAGAAGAGGGGAGGGAAGAGAAGAGGAGCGGAGTGGAGTGAGTTCGAGGAGCGAGAACTCGAGGTAAAGAGAAGTACTCTCGAGTCGCGAAATTGGTTCTCCGTCAGCGTGAGATTGCGCAAATTCAAATTCAACAATCCAGATTTCAACTTTCCAAGTTCGACCTGACAAATGAGAGCAGGTACATGGGTTGGGTGGGGTGACTGGCGGTGAGTAAGTGTGGTGAGCAAATCGAAGTTTCAAAACGCGACAAATCGAACTCGACATTTCAAAATCCAATTTCTCCTCCTGGGTAGGGGTGGGTGAGAGGATGGGCTTACACGAGCCGCGCGTAGTTTGATTTGAATGAGCGGATCGAAGCGCGTTGGTCAGGGCGTATTGGTTTGGCGAAGACCCGAAATTCAAATTAGCTATTTTGAACACAAGCACCTTGCATTTCGTACGACAGCCACTCGAACAATTTTCAAAATCAAAACAAGCGAGCTACATATGAACTAACGAGTTCATAATTACTACATAATTTATTTCTACAAAAGACATCCAAATCAGCAAACTAGTAGAAAGCATCTAGGCTCACTTCGAGCCACAGACTTGTCACTCATGCATCTCTTCCATCTCAGTGCAATCTCATAGCGACCCTCATCTGTTCATCCATATACTTTCTCTCCTCCGCCAACTTCTGCTTCAACTCCTCATCCCTCCTCTCCTTCCACTGCTCCGGCTGCCGAGCCATAATCAGACGATGCAGCTCTCGCAAAGACACCATCTGCCCGAAAACGTCGGCCTGGCGACACACGGGGCATGTGATGTGGGGCGACGCCATGCGGATGTTTTCAAATGCTGCCAGCTTGGCGACTGATGAGGCGCAGGAGCGGCAGTAGATGTGCCCGCAGGCCAACGCAATGGGATCAAAGAACACATCCTGGGGGAAAGGGTATGTGGAAACAAGTGGGGGGGGGGGGGGGGGGGAACAGCAACATGATCAGCTGGTGGATTTCATCTGCAGCAGGGTTTTCATCAGCAGGTGAGAATGAGGATACCAAAGCGGGGAAGCGGCACTTACAAGGCAAACAGGGCACTTGAACTCCACGTGGGCGTGAAACTCAGGCCTCAATTGCAACTCCAGCACCTGCTCCGAGCCTCCATGCTGCTGCTCCTGCTGCTGCTCTGGCTGCTGGTGTGCCTGCACTGCCCGCTCTGACTGCTGCTGCTGCTGCTGCTGCTGCTCCCCCTCCTCCTCCCCCTCCTGCTGCTGCTCCTGCCCTGGCAATCGCTCTGGAGTCCCATCTGAGGCGACAGCCACTGGGTTCTCACTCCCAACATTCTGCCCCCCTAGCAGACTCTCACTGCTGCTGAAACAGCTCCACATGGTATCAGCAGCGGCAGCAGCAGCACCACCACCACCATCGCTGCACCCGTTTACCAAGCCCATGTCGCCCTGACCCACCCCCGCGCTCAGCGCCCCTTCCGAGCTGCTTTGACCTTGACTGCCACTGCTGATGCTGTTTCCGCTTCCAAATACCCCCAAACCACCGCTGCCACCACCGTCACCAGCACCAGCACCTGCAACCATGAGCTGTGGTTCGGTCTGATGGTCTCTTGCCAATGAACCAGCTGAGCTTTCAAAAAGGTCCAAGCTACACCCACATTCCGTTAGAGGCACTACCTCCACCTCTTCCTCCTCGTCACCGTCCTCCTCATCGCTCCACACACGCTCCTCTACCTCCCTCGCCCCAGCAGGACTCCCTCCACCTGAAAAACCACCTGGAGAATCCGCTGCGCGGCCGTCAGCAACCCCCTTTCCCGGGCTCCACGGCAGCCTACCTGAAAAAACACCTGACGCACTCCCGCCGCCGCCCGTCCAGGTGCTCTGCATGGGCGCGAGAATGTGCAGCCAGCGCAGGTGCTGGTAGCGCCACTTGCGGTCGCAGTGGTCCTTACTGCGCTGGGAGTCAAACCCCGGGCAGCGCGGGTCATGGCAGTAGCGGTGCAGGTGGTGGTGATTGCACCCAAACAGCTGCTGCCGCTGCCTCTGCTCGCGCCTCTCCCCCCTGGTGAGCGGTGCTGGCGAGCAGCCGGAACCTGCTTCACCATGACCGCAACCCTGATGCTGCTTCTGTTGCTGCTGCTGCTGTTGCTGCTGCTGCTGTTTCAGCTGCAGCTTCAGTTGCTTCTGCTCCAGCGCGTAGCTCAGGTTCGACAGCAGCGCAGTCAGCTCCAGCATCAGCGGGGACCGCAGGATGCGCTGCTGCAGCAGCCGAATGTCTTCCAGTCGCTCAGCGTGTCCGCCGCTTCCGCCGGTTCCGCGGCTCTCAGCTCCTTCCGACTCATCTCCAATACTGGGCTCGGATTTCATATGAGCGCTGTGCACCTTCACGTACTTCTTAACGATTTTCCTTGTAGCGAGGTAGCTGAGGGCGAGGTGCTCCAGCAGGCTTGACGCTGCGCAGTACATGACCTCGGGCCTGAAAGAAAGGGGGAAGAAAAAGAGTGGGCGGAGGGGGGGTAGGGGGGAGGAGGGGGGGGGGGGGGGGGGGGGGAATGAGGAAGGAAAGGATGGATAGCGAGAGAGGAAGAGAGATATTGCGGTGACTTTTGAGTCGACCCGAAAGCAGGCTGGACGCTGCACAGTATATGGTCTCGGGACTAATCTATTGCCATTAAAAAAGGGAATGAGAAAGAAACAGAACGGGAGGGCAGGAAGGGGAGGGGGGGAGGGCGAGGGCGAGGGCGAGGGAGAGGGCCAGGGGTGAGGGTGAGGGCCTCAAGAGTGAACTGAAGAATGCAATTCAAACAAACAGACAGCATGCTTACTTGCTGTAGTCGGAGAAGCGCGAAAGTATCGCCGACAGCCCGTGCGCGTTATGGCAGCTGATGACACGGGCCGCCTCGCGGGTGAAGCTTCGCTCGATGCTTCGCAGCTCCTCCTCCAGCAGCTTAAAGAACTCGTCGTCGCAGTGAGGACAACCGGCCGCCGGCTTGACGGCGTCAAAGTTGACGGAATTTATAACGTCGACGGGGTTGACGGAGTTGACGGAGTTGGCGGCGTTTATGGAAGCGTCCTCTAACGGGCTGAGCGCGCATGCTGGAATGGCGTCGCTGTGAGCTCGTGCGGAGAGGCATCGCTTTAGAATCTTTTTCAAAGCTCGGTAGTCAACCTGAGCGAACCTGGACGGGATTTCTGCATTTTTGCACGGAGGACAGAAGCGAACGAAATGAAAAATTACTACGAGGTGAATTTTGAGTCGACTCGCAAGAAAGCTCGGTAGTCAACCTGAGCAAACCTGGACGGGATTTCTGCATTCAAGAAGTTATCATTGCACGAAGGACAGAAGTGAACAAAATCGAATATTTCAAACAGTGAGAAGATTCTTAGTAACGCGGCGGGATAACTCGAGGGTGAGAAGTCGTGAGGGTATATCAATCTGGGATTTCCTGTACCTGATGACTCGTGCAAACGAGTTTGGTAACTCTGGAAAGTCTTGCCGAATTTCATGCTGGCGACAGATGGCTGTTGCTTAAGTCTTAGAGGAATGAACTGAAGACGTCTTAAAACCACGAAGACAGCAAGTTAGGTCGTGCCTTTCCTTTGAAAAGTCTGATTTCGCAATGTTTCGTAGTGACTGGTCAGATCGATCTGAACGTCGATGATTGAAATAACACACTATATCTCTCCACTGCTCTTCCGATTACCGACCTGTCATCGCCTAATGGAAACACTGATGTAGACGTGGTGAACTGTATTTGGAACCTAGACTGAAACTGTATGGTGACAGGAGTCTGAACTGATAGGACGTCTAATGGAAGAAGTGGAAACTGGAAGTGGATAAGTGAAATCTGGCAACAGAGGATGTACTACTGAGGAAGATTTCTGGTCAGAACTCAGGAGGTCGTGAGAACTCACCTGCTTCTGCCCTTTCTGTGGCAGATGAGCAGTTTGGCAACAGCCAAGGAACAGTCTCTTATCACAAACGTCTGCCCAATCACGAGCCAAGTTTTCCGGTTTGGACATTCTCGTTTGGACAATTAGCTGCCGTGATTTGCGGTGTGAGGGACCAAATTCCAACGTTTGACGTGGCTTTGGCCTTGGTTTTGCTTGGCTGGCTAGGTTCGGGGGTTTGCGGCGGTCTGGTGTGTCTGCTTTGAGCTTGTCAGGTGTGCTTCGGCTTGTTAGGCGCAATGATGACTCGACGACGTGGCGGGGAACAACTGGCTGCTTGGCTTTCGTATTGGCGAATGTGCAAAGAAAGCAAGGCTGCGCTGACTCAGCAGCTTATCACTTTACCTGCGTTGAATATTCATTCACGCGGGAAACCACCTCAGCGGTCGAATCAGCGTCAGTTTTGATGTGCGGCTATGCCACGTCAATGCAGGCTGGACTAATCACAGGGTCGCTGAATATCCAGTGAATTTGGTTGGAGTACTGGGGTTACAGTTCAGCTGCCCTGCCCAACCCTTCGTATGGCTCTCCATTTTACCTCATGAAGCTGTTGCGTTGCGTGCGGCTGACTGCCAGAACTGCAACTGTGCTGTGGAGAGGTCAGCGGCGCGGATTCGTTGTGCGTCGCTTCACCTGCTGCCCTCCAACCGCCACTCGCCAAGTAGGGATACCTGTCGCACACAGCTCATTGGCTGATATGTGTGTCACTTCGAACCGTTTAGCCGTAAACGAAGACTTGACGCGAACCAGGTTACGTTGCACGAATAACGCAGACGCAATGAAACAAGTTCCACATTCATTAACACTGAATCATGCAACCAAATTTCTGAATCTCGTTGAAAACTGGCGGCTTGGTGCATGAAACCTCGAATGCCTTCTTGCCTTCATTCCATACAAGTCCCGTTCAGTTCAGACAATTCTGACTGAGTGCCTTTTCTTCCATTTGAATGCTCAGTAGTTATGCGCCGCGTGTTCTCGTCTATGGATCATTTCATGCCCTGATGTCCCTACTAGGGAAACTCTAGCGCCGTAGTGCGACGCTGATATTGCGCAGTCTTCGAACCGCCTGCGTCATAGACTCGGGTCGCTCAAGCGCGAAACGGAGCCCGTCACCATGAAATTCGGCAAAGAGTTCGCGAGCTATCAAATCCGGCTGCAAGAGTCGACAGGTACTAGGAACGGTACTAGTAGTTCTAGGAAAATCTCAAGTTAGGTGCTTCAGAAACTTACGAGAATCCGTCATGCCACTCTGAATCTCGCATGCTCTCTCCTCCGCTCTCTCATCCCTTCCCCAATGCCCGCCCTTCCCCTCCCTTCCCCCAGACCTTCCCGCGCTATTCCCGCAGGTGGACTACCGCGCGCTCAAGAAAATTCTCCGCCGCTGCATCTCCTCCCACGCGCTGCGCACCGAGCTGCGCGCGCAGGCGGTGCACTCGCAGGCGGAGCTCCACGCGGAAGAGGCGGAGTTGCGCGCGCAGGAGGAGACGCACGCGGCGGAGGCGGAGTCGCACGCGGACGGGACCGCGGAAGCGGCACAGGCGGAGGCGGATGCAGGGAGGGGAGCGGCGGACGCGGGGCGGGAAGAGGCGGATGCGGCGGAGCTCAAGCCGCGTTCCGCGGCGGGCTGCGCAGTAACGTCATGCACCCGCGGGGAACTTCCTGCGCGAACAGAGGCAGCAACAGCGGCCCCGCGAGTGGCGGGGCAAGAAGCGCCGGACCTCAAGCATTCCGCAGAGAACTGCGCAGTAACATTTTGCGCCCGCGGGGAACTTTCCGCACCAGCAGCGACCCTTGTAGCGGCGGCTGCAGCGGCGGAAAACGCGCCGACAGCAGCGCCCCTAGTAGTTCTACCAGCGGCGGCGGCGGCGAAAGACGCGCCGCCAGCAGTGGCGGACGCCGGCGCCAGTGGCTGCGCGCAGTGCGACGCGGAGTTTTTCGGGTTACTGGAAGCGGAATTGATGAGTATCGAGAGGAGCTTTAATTCCACTGCCACGCGGCTGCTGAGCTGTCACAACGCGAGAGGTCTCCGGCTCATGTGCCACGTGCTCTCGCCACGTCAGCTCTTCTCTGCGGGTGGACACAGTGGCAGGAGTCCGCGCTGGCATTCGCACAAGCCAGCGGCCCTCCTCCGCGCAGCGACCAGCCTGCTGGAGCACCTCGCTATAAGCTTCCTCGCTACGCATAAAATCCTCAAGAAATACATCAAAGTACACCGCAGGTCGAGCCTGGGCGTATGTGACGCGCGTGAGGCGGCGCTCGCTGCCCCTGAATCGTGGGAGTCTGTGATTCGCTTGAGGCGCCTCCAGGGGCGAATCGTACGGTCACCGTTGCTCATCGAAGTGACTGCAATGGCTGCCAATCTAGAGCTCAAGATGAGTGGTGGGAGGAGAGGGGGGCAAGGAGGAGGACGGCGAGGAGAGAGAGGAGGATTGGGAGGAGGAGAAAAAGGGGATTTGGTAGGAGGGAAGAAGGGAAGATTAGGTACCGAGAAGAGTAGAAGCAAGAAAAGCGGAACGCAGGGGAGTGGCGATGCAGCGTCGGTGTGTCCTCTCCTCGGTTCAGAGCTGCTGCTGAAAGCGGAGTTCAGAGCGAGAGTGGACGTCACCTGCCCCGTGTGCCTGGTGAGCCCCATGCTGCTTTGTAATCCTAATGTCTCCATGTCGCCTTGTCTTGTCGCCACTGGGCCCAAAGCTGAAAGGCGGAGTTCAGGGCGAGATTGGACGTCACCTGCCCCGTCTGCCTCGTGAGCCTCGTGAGCCTTTGGTCTTCTGGGTCTCGTCTGTGCTGCCATGCATGCATCCCTCAACCCACACCCCCACACCAACACGCGCCCCACCCACACAACTCAACCCACAACACCTACTCCCTCAGGAGGTCCCCTTCGACCCGGTGTCTCTCCCCTGCACGCACATCTTCTGTCGCGGCTGTGCTTGCTCCGTGGCGCACGTGCCGGTGTTCTCCAGCCTCAACACATGCATGCATCCCCCTCTACCTCACCCCACACCTCCACGTCCCACACACCCACCACACACCCGCTCACTCCCCCAGGAGGTCCCCTTTGACCCCGTGTCCCTCGCCTGCACGCACATCTTCTGCCGCGGCTGTGCTTGCTCCGTGGCCCATGTGCCGGTGTTTTTCGGCCTCGACTCCGCATCGCCCCACATCACGTGCCCGCTGTGCCGCCAGCAGGGGGTGTTTCGACAACCCCGGTCTCTAAGGGAACTGCACAGGCTCATCATGGCACGGTAGGGTTACCACCAAGGTAGGGTTACCACCCGCCCCCCTAGGGTTATAACCACCAAGGTAGGGTGTTTGTCGGCCTCGACTCTGCATTGCCCCAGATCACGTGCCCGCTGTGCCGCCAGCAGGGGGTGTTTCGGCAGCCCCGGTCTCTGAAGGAGCTGCACAGACTCATCATGGCACGGTAGGTAGGGTTACCAGCACCAAGGTAGGGTTGTCGAAGGTCCCCATGACTCCGAATCGCCCCACGTCACGTGCCCGCTGTGCCGCCAGCAGTGGATGTTTCGGCAACCCCGGTCTCTGAAGGAACTGCACAGGCTTATATTGAGGTAAGAGACCAGAGGTAGAAAGTGAACTTTTTAGATGGTCTTATAAATCCACTTTCTACTCAAGGTAAGAAACTAGAGCGGCCAGAGAAGTAGAGGCTACGAGAAGCCTGTCTGGTTGCGCTGCTGTCTAAGATTCTTGCCAGTCAGTGCTCAAATTACTGCTGAGGATTCTCACAAGTGATCTCAATCTAGGCTACGAGAAGCCTGGCTGGTTGCGCTGCTTTCTTAGATCCCTGCCAGCCAGGCTAGGCTGCACTGCTACCTGCAAGAGGTCTGGCTGTCTTTCCGTGTGCTCTCTGCTCTTCCGGTTCTCTGTCTGACTGTCAGCCAATGCTCCCTTGCTAGCCACTGTTTCTCTTGGGTGGCCCTGGGCTTTGGTTGTGCGCTGTAATGTGACTTGTACTACAGGCAGCCAGAGCAGTGGAAGGCAAGGAGAGACGAGGAGCAGAAGAGGAGGCTTGAGGAGGAAAGGCGGTACTGGGATGGTCAAATGCGCATCGCTATGCATATGAGGTGACTCTCGCTCTTGTACAGTCAGCAGCTCATCATTGGACATGACTTGTTTGTGTAAAATATACTGTGTATTTATGTATATATTAGTGTATATAAACGCAGTTCAATACATGTAGAGTTTGAGCTGTGCTGAGCCAAGTCATACCCAACGGATGCAGCACTGATAGGAATATGCATCACCAAGCCTGCATGCGATTAGAGCAGCCACCGTTCGTGTTTGAGGCTGCGAAGCACGATATTACCTGTGGGCATTACGAAAACCAGACTTTCAACATCAGGTCTGACGGGGTGGAAGGCGTCCAATGCCCCGGAGTATGGCGGTTGATGCAATTCAGACAGGTGCAATAGGCTCATTTGCGATACATCTTTTATACACATGAAGAAGGTGACAAGATTGAAGTAGAACACGCATCGTACTCGCTGAGAGATTGTTGGAAGCCCTTGAACAGCACAGCGGAGGCTGCCAAATGAGGAATTTGTGACACGTGAAGCCTTGCCGAAGTGGCAGAGTCTACCTATCGTTAGCCAGGATGCCACGTCTAGATATCCGGATGATCACAGTCGGGATTGGTCCATCCCAATTTCCAGGCCGAGATCCCTCATGCACTTTTTCTGAGGCACCCTGTGGTTTTGGATAGCGAGAATAGCCCGAATTCGTCCGGAACAATTGTGCTTTCTGTGTGTTTGCCAATGCTCAATCGCAGTTTCATTCACTCTCGCAAGAAATTAGTCGGAATTAGCGGCTCTTTGGAAACTATTGTTTGAGCAAACAGAACGACTAGGAAGGTTCAGGTCTCTTGACATAGACACGCAAAGATTCCTGCCAGCTTGGCAAGCGCTCAATGGTGTAGGGGAAAGCAACCAGCGCTACAATACCCACCAAGGAAACTCCAGCTTGGTGTGCTGCCATTTTCGGGCAGCTGTTCCATCTCTCAACATCTGCGCCTCTGTCGAACCGCCTCGATGCTGACGCGCCTGCTGCCGAAGCAGCGTGCGAGGTGAGAAAGGTTGCGCGACGGGCAGCCCGGCGCGCGCAGCAAAGTCCCGCTCCCTCAGTTCCCCTTCTTCACCTGGAGCGAACTCGAGGTTCGGTTCAGTCGACTTGGCTTGGTTCCCTCCCTGGCATTCTTCTGCAGCAATCAGCTCAGGAGCAAAACGTCGCGTGTGAACTGGAGTTCTCTAGGAGGAAACGTCAAGATTCCTTCACTCACACGCACCACCCCTCGGTGTGCATTGTACCTCGGTGTGCAATCAATCCCATTACTCACAGCGTCTATCAGGCTCTTGTGTGGTGGTGGCTCCAGCGATACTGTTCGCCAGCGGGTACTGTAGTGTTTCTTTCCCGCCTTCGAGGAGCTAGAAATATTCAATATGGCAGGACTACTGGCTAGCCGTGTCGCTCTCAGTCGTCTCCTCGAGCACCGTGAGCTTCGCCTCTCTGCAAACAAGGCGAACTCCCGCGAGAGCCGCATATGCGTAAGCCTTGTACCCCATAGCCTGTCATGACTGTCTTGAATGTTACGTGAGAGCTGTCATTGACCTAGACATTGGTGGCTTGTGCAGTAATCCGCACGGCGGACGGACTCCTGGTGCACCATCCCCGCTCACTCAGTATTCGGCAAGGTATGTTGAGAGTTTTAATCCCACAGAAGTTTGATTCTTCAATTACGTCCTTTGACGGTGCTCATGGTGTCGCCTTGTACCAGGATCGAGCAATTGCATTCGACGGCAACGAAGGCAGTTGAAAGCGCGGCCACTACCGCTTTCAACTCTGCTCCCACGTCGTCTGTCGCTGCTTCCTCCCCGTCGTTGAGTCCCTTCCGCCAAAAAATAAACGAATGGTATGAGCAAAGCGGTTGCTACCGGAATTTAAACTTCCATCTCTTTTATGCTCAACGACAGCCGCGGAAGCTAATTTTTCTGTCCAAATACCTCTTATATCCACAGGTGGGCAGATCATCTTGTCAGCAAGGCCAATTTCGTGGAAGCTGCTGCTCCCTGCCTGCCTTCAGATGACGAAGAGGAGTTCGTCATTTTGAAGCCGCCTGTCGAGGTGGATTCTAAGTTCCAGCTTCCGCAAAAGGGCCCTGAGGTTAATTATTGACGCACGAGCCAGTCAGAACTGTTATGTGTAAACATCGGCTGCGTTTGTAAATAGAACCGAATGACGGCGTGGAATTGGTGCACCTTGCCTGCTGTAAGGTGCAGATACGGTGATTTGTTGATTCTGTTTATTACAAGTTCAGCTGTGTGTCTCACCGCGATATGAGTTATTGAAATGAAATTGCAGTACACTGGGGTCATGTCATGGGTTCATTTGCCCTTAGTAATCTCTCCCTAATCCTTCCAGGAAGAGTGCCTATAAGTTCCCACAATTGAAACACTTGTGAACAGGGCAGTCGAGATGGAAGGTATCCTACGTTGGTGAATTGAAAAGAAAGCCTCCTGCTAGACAGCTAATGGCCCACATTCATTGCTCTAGGAGCTACCGGAGTGGGAATGTGTTCCAACTAAGCAACCTCTCTAGTTCATCATCCTCACTCCGGGGAAATTATGCGAGCAGAAAGCAAGCTGTCACTAAGCAACCCCCCTTGAAACTGTTTTAGTCTGCAGTCTCCCTGCACACTGTTCTAGTGCACCGTCCTTGCTCTAGTACCGTAACAATATGGTGTTGACGCCGCTGAAAAGCAACACCCATTCCCAGCAGCCAGCGAGTCAAGGCATAGAAGGTGACAGCCACCAGATGGCTGAACATTAATCCCTGCACACTCTTTTAATCCGCCTTTCTCGCTCTGGGAACAACACGACGTGGACGACGCGGGGGAGCCACACCCATTCCCAGCAGCCAGCGAGTTAAAGCATAGAAGGTGACAGCCACCAGACCGCCAAGCGATGCCAGCCACACAGGGTGGTACGAGAGATACTGGAGAGCGGGAGGAATGAAAGCGGACGGGGACAAAATTGGTACACAACGAGTGTGAGTGTAAGCTAATTCAGACAGCACACCCTTGAAGGCATAGAAGGTGACAGCCACCAGACCGCCAAGCGATGCCAGCCACACAAGGTGGTGTTGAGAGATACTGGAGAGCGGGGGGAACGACACGAGTATGAGAAAGGCGAGACAGGCGAGGATACGTATGTAGAGAATACGTTTGAGTGCGAGCAGGATTCAGAGAAGCACATCATAGGATGGCAAAGATACGTATGAAAACTTGATACTGCGCCATGCGCCCATCCTCTGTATCTCACCCGCATAAAAACGTGATACTGCTCCCTCACACACTTTTCCCCACACCTCCCCTCACTCACAGACGCCCCTCACACATTCCCTCCCAAGCATCCCACCCGCATGGAGACTCGGTACTGCTCCCATTCCCTGCGTTGCCCAGCTGGGGTGACTTGAATCCAACCCATCACTCACCATGTGAATACATGGTACTGCTCCCATGTCAGTCTGAGCCCCATATTGCTCTCACCCATGCCACACTTCAATCACCCTCCCTCTCTCTCCCCCATCACTCACCCACGTGAACACGAGGTACTGCTCCCATGCCAGTCAGAGCCCCATACTGCTCCCATGCCACCCTAACGGACTTCCCCTCTTGCTCTCACTCCCTTCCAAGCGTCTCACCAGCATGAACGCGTGGTGCTGCTCCCACGCCAACGCCAGAAGGTTAACAATCCCATTCCCATCCCCATCCCTCCTATTGAGCTGACCCATCACTCACCCACATGAATGCGTGGAACTGCTCCCACGCCATGTGTAGCCCAGCCATGTGCGCCTCCTCCCTCCCAAGCAACTAGCATCTCACCCACACTCACCCGCATGAACGCGTGGTACTGCTCCCGCGCCCCGGCCAGCAAGCCAACAATCCCATCCATGGCTGACGGTCCCCCTGGCACCTCCAGAAACACTTGCTTTCCCACAAACAGTCATACCCTCCCAGGCATCAGCATCTCACTCACCCGCATGAACGCGTGGTACTGCTCCCACGCCCCGGCCAGCAGGTCAACAATCCCATCCATAGCTGACGGCTCCCCCGGCACCTCCAGTCACACTCGCTCTCTCATGGCCCTGCACGCTTTCCCTAACACCCTCCCTCACTCGCGTACGCCCCTCAAAACCCTCCCTCCCAGCCATCTCACCCGCATGAACGCGTGGTACTGCTCCCGCGCCCCGGCCAGCAGGTCAACAACCCCATCCACGGCTGTCGGCTCCCCCGGCACCTTCTGCTCCCCCACCTCCTTGTATCCTCCCCGCACAAACCGCCGCAACACCGCTGCCAAATCTTCCCCTCCTGCTCCGCCTGCTGCTCCTCCTGCTGCTGCTGCATACCCCTCCCCTTCAAATTCCTCATCCCCTTCATCTCCTGTGTCATCCAATCCTCCGCCGATCCCGTGCCTGCTGCTCAGGCTCGGGAGAGAGGCTTGGGGGAAGGAGAACATGGCCCGGTCTCGGAAGAGCTTGAGAACAGGCTCGGAGCCAACGCCGAACCTCTTCTTCAGCTTCGGATTTGCGTCTACATCAACCTGGGTTGGGAAAAGAAAACGGAAAGAGAACGGAGGGAAGAGAACGGATAAGGGAGGTTGATGAAGCACCACCTGGACAGAATCACCACCTGAACAGAATCACCACCTGAACAGAATCACCACCTGAGCAGCAATGAAGCGCCTTGCAGGCACGCCGTCCGACTGCTCAACACCCTCTTCAACACCCTCTTCACTCACACTGCAGTCTCCTCAATAAAAACGCCTTAACTCATTATATCCATCTATCAACCTCTCGTCTCAACGTAAAGTCCCCACCATCGCGGCAATGAAGAGCAGGCCGGGCAACATCGTCCGACTCTTTCACACTCTCTTTCTCACTCATCATCTAACATTCAACTTCAACATCGTCCGACTCTTTCACACGCTCTTTCTCACTCATCATCTAACAATTAATTTCAACATCTCACTCTTTTCTCGATAAAGAATCCCCACCTGAGCAGCAATGAACAGCCGACCAGGCACGTCGTCCGCGGCAGAAGCAGCCTCTTTAAGCGATGCGAGGATGCGGTGGCATGGCGACGCGGAGTCAGCAGAGGTTAGGCAGTCTGACGTGGCGAAAAGAACGAACCTAGTCCAACATTCGCGACGAGCGGGCAGGCAAGAAACGGGAGGGAAGTGGAATGGAGAGGTTGGGTTTTTGAAAAGAAGAGAATAGTTAGAGATTTATTTTTGTGATCGCAACGTAATTCGCCATGGCAAGTTTTCGTCACGGCGGTTACCACGCAACTTACCATCCGGCCGTCGTCTGCCCCGACGATGCCTGCGTGTCCTGCTCGAACGACGCATCGGTCAGCGCGTTGACTTTTGAGTCGACTCAAAAGTCAACCCGACGATGCCTGTGTGTCCTGCTCGAACGACGCATCGGTCAGCGCGCGCGGCGCGCGGATCGACTTCTAATACGTTCCAAAACTCACCATCGGCCCGTGGTCTGCCCTGACGACGCCTGCGTGTCGTGCTCGAAGGTCGCGTCTGTAAGCGCGCGCACGCGGTACGGGCGGAAATCCGAGGCCGCGGAAACGCGGATCAACGCGAGGAGCGCTAAGAGCGTGAGGAGGGAGAGGAGGGAGACGGGATCACCCGCGGGAGACGGGAGGCGACGGAGAGGCGGCGTAAACGGTGCAGTGCATCTAGACGCCGCCATGTGTGCGACGCGGAACGGTGCACGGCGGTGAGATACTGGGTAATGGACGTACGGGAATGCAGATGCAGCGGCCAAGGTAATGACCGTTCAGGATCAAGGGGATTCACAAGAATAAACAAGGAGCAGGCTTAAGGAAGGGAAGCTAAGTCCTTCAATAGAGCAGAAATGATGGCAGGAAGGAATATCTATGGCGGCTGCCGCGTGCCCTGCGATCTTCCCGCTTCTTGGGGAAGATTTTATTGAGGTGTTGGCATTTCAATAGCGGCACGCACGTACTCGTCAGTGAGCAAATTCAATTTCAGTTTTGTCTGCAAAATTTTAAGGCTGCCTAAATTTGGGGTTCTGAGTTTTTCTCTATAGCACCTTTGTTCGTTTACTAACCATGAGAGTTTTTACGGATCCCCACCCCAATCCCGTCCGTCCCTCGGGCCCCACCTTCCAGAATTCCAGCACCCCCTTTCGGAAGAAACGTGTTGCTTGCATCAGATGAGTGCACGACCCAAATCTGCTGCCGCCACGTCACGGCCGCCACGTGCTCTCCTCGCCTTTGGGGGACCACCACCGCCCATGCAAATTTGAGAAGAAACCCTTTTCGTTCGCTGCTATAACTTCTCCTGCTGTTACACATTTCGCCAGGAGTAATGTGAGTCGAGCAAACGTCACTTGTTCTCGTGAGCCGAGCACAGCACAAGATCGCCGAATGCCCCCAGACTCCCACGCACAGACTGCCTAATCTCTAGAACCACAGCCGGATCAAGCAGGCTGCGTGGTTCGCGAGATCAGATGCGTCGCGTGCCGTGCCTTCCGCTCTGCGCGCCCGGATCGGCCTTCTTTCTGCTCTCGTCTGCTGCGTGCCGCGTCAATTGAGGCAGCAGGGTCGTCGCAGGACGGTACGAACGTACCGTGCCAGTGGCGCGGAGCGAGCGCGCTAAGCCTCCCGCGAGGCATCGTCCGGCCTTTCGGTGCCGAGCAGCTGATCGCGCGTTTCCTTGCTCTCTCACCTGCACGTCCTTAGTTTCTTATAACAACATTTTCCGGCGTTAGGACCTGTGGCATCAAGCATTGCTGAAGGATTCTGTGAATCCTCAATCAATTCATCATCAGTCTGCCCTCATGACTCCCACCACGACCACCTCCGCCAATACCGCCGCCTCCCTCACCGCTCCCGCCGCCCAGGCCACCACCGTCGCGTCTGCGTCAATCGCAGTTGATAGCAAACCACCCGCCGGGACGACGGCCGTTCGTTCGCGCTCGTTCTCGGCAGCAGAGGCGACGGGACACGACGGTAGGCCTGGCGACGTCGCAGGCCGCGCGTGCGACGTCGCACGGAGCGACGAAATCGCCGGTGCACGGGCCGTCGTGCCGATGCCAGTGCCGGAGTCTGCCTGCGGAAGTAGCGCAAACGATGCTGCCATGGCAGCTGACGTCAGCAGATTAGACCCTAACGGTTCAGCGGCACAATTACCGGCCGCGGCAGGCACGCCGGTTGTTTCGACCGGGAGTTCGACCGTAGTGTCTTCTGCCATCGGGGTGCAACACGCGAGAGATTCAAGAAACCCTGAGGGCGATTTAAGATTGGAGACAAGGGCCGTGGCGGCGGGTTCTTCTGAGGCGTCTCGAAATGCAAGGGGTGCACGAAAGCCCGAGGGCGATTTGGGGTTGAGGGAAAAGGCTTTGGCGGCGGGTGCAGCGGCGGTGGTGTCGGCCGTAATTATGAACCCGCTAGACGTCGTTAAGGTACGTTGGTAGTGTTGCGTAGCTGCGCTGGTATCGAAGCATTCAATTATAACGACGGACTTGGCTTCTGTTTGTGGTTATTATTGTCGTGCTAAGCCTTGTGTCGGTCGTCTTTCGCGTCCCCCCTCTCTCCCTCTTCCCCATCCCCCTCTCCCCTCTTCCCATCCACAACACCCGCGCGAACCGCATTCCCCCCTTGCGCACTCCAACCCCACCCCTTTCCCCACTCCCTCGATCAGACGCGGCTGCAGGCGCAAACAGCGACCGCATCCCCCCGCGCCCCCACCCGCCCCTCGCCCCTCGCTTCCTCCTCCCCCGCTACAATCACATGTCGTGCTCTATACCCGTCCCTCGCCGCTCCGTCTGGCTCTGCCGCCGCTGCTACAGCCGTTTCTGCAGTAACTGCTGCTACAGCCACTGCTGCTCCAGCCTCCGCTGCTACAGCCTCTGCCTGCTGCCGTCCTGCCAAATTCTGCTCGCGTCACCCAGCCTTCCACCCGGCTGTAGCCGCTACAGCCGCGTCCGCCCCCTTCCCCGCCGCCTTCTGCTCCCACCACCGCGCCCTCTTCCCCTCTGCCGTCTTCCCAGCTGTAGCCTTCCCGGCTGTAGCGGCTACAGGCGCTTCTGCCCCTTCTGCCGCGGCCGCCCTGTTGGCGCGGGGCGGGCAGATGCACGGGCATGGGGATGTGCGGCGGGCGGCGATGTCTGTCTGTTGTGACGCGGCAGGACTGTACGGGCATGGGCATGGGGGAGTGGCTACCGGTACTAGCAGCAATCATGGCAATGGGTTCACACACGGGCATGGGTATGGGAGCATCCATGCGAATGTAACCCATCTGCTGCCGAACCAGCACCAGCAGCCGTATCAGCATCACCATCCCCATCACCACCTCCCCCACCACCACCATCACCCGTATCGCAACACATGGGACGTGTTCTCTCGGATAGTGCGAGAGGAAGGGGCGCTGCGCCTGTGGCGCGGAACAGGCGCCTCGCTCCTCATGGCTGTACCAACGGTTGGGATCTACCTCCCTGTGTACGATATCCTCAAGATCGAGCTCGCAGCGATGTCGATCAACGGCCAGGATCGCGCCGTGCCGGAGGCGTATGTGCCGTTGATCGCGGGGTCAGTGGCGCGTGCGCTGGCGTGTGTCAGCTGCGCGCCTCTGGAGCTTGCCAGGACGCGCATGCAGGCACAGAGACCAGTGGGGGCAGGACTGGGGGCAGGGGTGGGGGCCGGAGTGGGAACAGCAGTGGGGGCAGTGGGGACGGTAGGGCCGGTAGCAGCAGCAGCAACAGCTGGTGCAGGAGCAGCAGGAGGGTTGGGTGGGGCAGGGGTAAGGGGTGGGTCGAGGCCAGGCACGTTAGCAACGCTGCGGACGATTCTGCAGCCACATTCGGGCACTCAAGGGTTGCGCGCCCTGTGGACAGGTGTCGACGCGCAATTGGCCCGTGATGTGCCATTCTCAGCCATCTGCTGGGGTCTATTGGAGCCCACCCGGCGGTACCTGCTCAGTAGATCTGCTGAACAGTGGGAGCAGAAACAGCGGGACAGGAAGCAGTGGGTTCACTGTGGTGCTGGTGCTGATGCTGGTGCTGGCGGGGAGGTGTTTTCGCGGCAGCTGCCGCTGCTACAGGTCGTAGGAGCGAATTTCGCAGCAGGGATGGTGGCAGGAAGCGTGGCAGCAGCGGCAACGCACCCTCTGGACGTGGCTAAAACAAGGAGGCAGATCCAGGTGTCGGGGGCTCAGCTGAATACTGCTCAGACGCTGCAGCATCTCTGGAGGTGAGTAGAGCTGTGGTAGGGTTGTGGAAGGGCTGGGTTGGGTTGGGCTGTGGGCTCAGTCAGTATTCTAGTATGAAGCTTGTCGATTGCCCTCTCTGTGAATCTGTTCTGCACGGAGTGATTGATGTTTCCATGCCTCCTGTGTTTGTGTGGCCAATGCAGGGAGGGAGGAATGAGGTCCTTATTTGCTGGGGCGGGTCCTAGAGTGTTGAGAGCCGGCCCATCTTGTGGTATCGTGGTTACGTTTTATGAGGTGGTGAAGCACTTGCTTAACTGAAAAGCCTGTTAGACGACTGGCGCGCCCCATTTTTGCTGTAAACTCGTTTTCTTCTCGAATAATGGACCTTTTTCTCTTTCATATTCATGATTCTCTCAGTAGTTACTATGTGATTCAAGGCATGATGTCTGCTGATCGGGTTGCATCTATTTTTATGAGCGAGTGCTATTGGCTTTTTTATGCTGACACAACTGTACATTATCTGCGGGTGATACTTCTCTTACGGGTCACGCCATACCGCAAGTGCTTTGCTTCTTTTGGGAGCCCTAGCTGGCAACAATGTTTGCGTCTCTTTTGCGTCCCGCCTCCAGAGTTTTTGGCCGACGCACTGGTTTGCCGTCGTCGAAACTAATGTACTCGCGGACATCAGAAACCACCGACAAAAATCTTCGACGTATTTCATTGACGGTCCTTTGATTGATTGACGGCGCTTACTTTTTTTGCACAGGTTCCTCCCATGTGCTGGGTGGGTGGCAGCGGGGGAGGGGGATTTTTCGTGCTAGCGAAGCGCTAGTCGAGCCGCATTTTTCCCCAGTCGAACCGCATTCAAAATTCCAATTATGCCAATGATCCTCAACACGCAGGCTTTGCATAAATTCGTTCCCCCGTTCTTCCTTCCCGTCGCTCTCTAGCAAATTCAATCCTCTCGCTTTCTTCGCCCTTCAGTCGCCCTCTCGCTCTTAGAACCTCCGTTTCACACAACATTTACGAGTCCCGACCTCCGAGAATTTATTCGTAGTTCTCATTCCGTCTCGGTTTCTCCAAGAGCTCCCGTTTTTGCCTTCAAACATGGCAACCAGAGTGTCGTGCGCCGTTGTTCTGCTGCTGGTGGCTGTCCTTGGTTTCTCTCTTCCAGCCTCGGCGGCTGTGAAACCGTACTGCCGCTTCTCCGGAAAGCTGGTGGTCAATAATCTCGTGACTGAGCTAACGAAGGCTGGAAATTATTCCACCCTGGTTTCCGCGCTCAAGGAAACAGGTGTGAAGAGCGACGGTGGAACTTTTTGGAAGTTCGGAAGCTGGTAGTTACCCTTTCCGCCTTTGGCCGGCTCGCCTTCCCAGCGCCAACAAATCCTTGTGTTCTGGGACGCAGAGGCGGCGGCCGCAGATTAAATTTTGCGATTGCCGACTTGATTCGGCGGCTGCAGATTTTAATCTGGCGGTTGTACATCTGATTTGGCGGCTTAACAGCTCATCCCGCACTCGGCGCATCCTCGCGCCTTTCGCGCCTCATTGATTTCAACCAACCGTGTCGCAAACTGTGCAGCGTCTCACCCACTCCCTGTCACACCCTGTCACACCCTGTCACACGACCCTCTACTTTTACTCCGTTCAGGCCTTTCCAAGGATCTGAAGGACCTCATTAACTGCTACGAGGCGACGTTCTTCGCGCCGACCGACGCGGCGTTCGCGGCGCTCGCGGAAGACGCGAAAATTGCGACTTCGGACGAAAAGGTTCTTCGCGAGGTGCTGCTGCTGCACGTGGTGCAAAAGAAGATGCCGGCCGCCGCGCTCAAGACCCTCCCGCAGGACAAGCAGGTGAGGGACGATAATCTGAAGTGGTGTTGTGGTGTTGGAAGTGGTGCTGCGGCGTTTGGCGGTGCTGCGCGAGGTGCTGCTGCTGCACGTGGTGCAGAAGAAAATGCCGGCCGCCGCGCTGAAGGCGCTGCCTCAGGAAAAGCAGGTGAGACATGTTAATGGTTCCGCGTGTGCTTCAGCACGAGAATGAATGCCACAACGCTCATTCGCCCGCATCGTGAGGTTCCATACTCGAGAATCATGCGACACATCCCCCTCAATCTGAGTCTAAGGACGCCCCATGTCATGATGACAGTGATGCATTTTCACCGCACCCAATCCCTCGCAACCGTGTGCCGGTTTCTCTTCCACCCTTGCGCAGTTCAAGGCGGCATCTGACGGGTGCAAGGCTCGTCTGGTGAAGGTCTCAGCTGCCGGGGCCGACCAATCCAGCTGGAGGCCCTGTTATGTCCTTCCACCGCACTTAATTCCTCATAACCGTGTCCTCATTCCTCCTCACACCCTGTGCAGTTCAAGGAGGCAGCAGACGGGTGCAAGGCTCGCCTGATAAAGGTTTCAGCTCTCGGCGCAGACCCAGTCCAGCTGCAGGCCCTGTCATGGTGATGGCAGTAATGTCTTCCACCGCACTTAATGCCTCGCAACCGTGTGTTCATCCCTCTCCACACCCTTGCGCAGTTCAAGGCGGCATCCAACGGGTGCAAGGCTCGCCTGGTGAAGGTGTCACCTGCTGGCGCCGACCCAGTCCAGCTGCAGGCCCTGTACGGCCCGGAGGAAGCTTCCGTGGTGGCTCCTGACGTCATCTCGCTGCGAGTGATGCAGGTGCACGGGGTAGATACGGTCATCCTGCCCCAGATCATGAAGGCCGGTGATAAGGACTCTCTGAAGCCCACCGTATGCTTTCCCTGGCGCGCATAGCCTAGTGTCTCTCCCTAGCGCGTGTAGGTGTGAGGATAAGTGAAGGCTTTAGAGGCGGTGTGATGCAGGTGCACGGGGTGGATACGGTGATTCTGCCCCAGATCATGAAGGCGGGCAATAAGGACTCCCTCAAGCCCACCGTATGCTTCCCCTGGCGCGCATAGGAGAAGTAAAAGCTGTCCAAGTGGTGTGATGCACTTTATAAGTGATGCACCCTAGGAGCGATGCATCTTTGAACACCTTCGGGTCGACTCAAACGCCACAACCTATCTACTTTGGCCCTTCTCAGACCATCTGGTGGCCGAGTAGATAGGTTGTGGTGGTATGGGCGGCGCACTACTGAATCGACTTGTCATTTCCGGCCAGACGGAGGTGGAACCTGTCATGCAGATGCACCTGGATGAGTGGGTGGGTGGGATTCAGGAGAGCTGTGAGCTTCAGTCTGACTGACTGTGCAGGGCCATCATCGTCTTAATGCTGATATGTTTGGATAGCAGGCAGGAGTAGCCGGGGTTGTTCTGGGACATGATGTGCTTGTGGTGCTAGGTGAGAAATGCTTGTTTTTGTACTTCCCATTCATGATGTAATATGATACTCTTATTCATACCAGATAGTAGTGACTCGACGACTACATGTCTACCATGCTGTTCCTGAAAGGGGCCAAAGCCACATCCCACTCCAGGCTGGTCTGCAGCTTTGCATGACATGTTGCATCGCATGCCAGATGGCGGAACGGATCCTCTTGCAGTGTGCTCTCCTGCATCACGTAGCCAATGCAATGCAGCTCCTGAAGATGCGTTCAGGCATCCTCCTTTACCCACAAGAGAGAAGAAAGCAACACAACCGAAATAGAGCATGCGGACAGACCCAAAGCAGAGGTGGAGCATCCGCGCACTGCTGGTTGGTGTCAAATGATATATATGTGTGATACATATTGGTAGGCTGTAGTGGGGTAGATGTTATAGGGGATAACTCCTTAGGGTTGTGTTATTTGTACCATTTCTCTCGATAGTGAACCTCACCTTGCCTAGCTATCTCAACATGGCAATATCAGAGCGGAGTGACGGTGGTGCTATCGCGAAAGAAACAGCGGGAAGCACCAGAGTCAAGTGTAAACGTGTGCAAGGCCTGAGCCGACTCAGTACCAAGGGGAGCAGACTCACTAGCACCTAGGGCTGCAGTCCTTATACCGGGGTCAGGCGGCACACACAAGTAGCAGTCACCCTCAGCACTAACAGTCAATGCATACATGGCAGCAAGAATAACATCATAGTCCAGATCAAAGATAGGCACATCACGCCTAAGCAGCTCTGCCCAGTTGGGGAACTCAGTAGCATCAGGATACTTAGTACGCCAGGCGTCACTAAGCCTAGCAAAACAACGATACTCAGTGTGAAAACCGTTGCAGGGGCGACCCTTGCGGGGGCCAGTACGAATGACATAGGGGCAGCGGTCAGAACCCCGAGACGCCCCACGCCCAGCATACCAGTCATTGAGCTGCTGGGAGGTGAGGGGAGGAAGCTGCTGCTGCTGCTGTGGCTGTTGCTGCTGCTGCTGCTGCTGGCCACCCTTCTGGCCAGATCCACCCCCACTCCCACCTCCACCGCCACTGCCGCTGCCTCCTCCCCCACCACCGCCGCCGCCGCCTCCACCGCCCCCGGTCCTGCCGCCACCCCACCCACCGCCTCCACCCCCACGGCCACCCCCACCACCTCCACCACCCCCGCCGCCTCCACCACCGCTCCCTCCACCGCCACCTCCGCCACCCCTGCCACCCTTGCCGCCCCTGCCACCACCACGCTTCCCACCAGGAGCGGAAGCCGCTGCGACCTTCTCCGCACCGAGGAAGTCGACAGCAGTAGCAGCAGAGGCGTAGGAGGGGTCAAGAGGGGAGGGGGAGCACCCCTCAAAGAGGGGAGTGCGGGGAGTGCCACGAGCAGCACCGACAGCGAGGATGTTCTTCTCTGCTGCGACCAGCTGCTGCTCGAAGTCGTCCAGAGTGATAGTTGGAGGATCCTTGGCAAGGAAGTAATCCCTGACAGAGCGAAGAGTGTCAGGGAGGCGGGTGACGAGGATGTAGAGGGTGAAGTACAGCGGGGGGGTGTTCGTGGCGAGGAACTCGTTGGTAAGAGCGGCTCGAAAGCGGGCGTCACTAGCGCGGAGGTGAGTGATAAGGTCGGCAGCAGTGTGAAACGAGGCTAAGTCTGGGAACAGGTAAGGCAGGATGAGACTACCAACGGTGGCTGTGGTCGGGGCGGAATAGCGGGCAACGACAGCATCATACAGCGTCTTAGCAGTCTTAAGCTGGTTGAAATGCGCGCGCTCAGAGATCGGTAGGTGATTGCGAATAACAAGGCGCGCGACAGCATCGCGGAGCTCCCACTGTGCTCGTTCAGGGGCAGGAGCAGTCTCAGCAGGAGTAGGGACAGTGCCGGTCACATAGGCTAGCAGTGACACTCCGTCTGCGACGTCAGTCATAAGGTAAAGGCGCAGGTCACTAAGCCAGGTGTCAAACTCGATGGGGCGGCCGTCAGGCTCAAAGGCGAGAACAGTAAGGGTCGCCATGGTTGTAGCGCAGGCAAAAGTAGCAGGCTCAGGCAGCAGGCTCAGGCAGCAGGCTCAGGTAGCAGGCTCAGGCAGCAGGCTCAGGCAGCAGGCTCAGGCAGCAGGCTCAGGCAGCAGGCTCAGGCAGCAGGCAAAGACTGCAGGTTCAGGCAGCAGGCTCAGGCAGCAGGCAACTGTAGCAGGTAAGGAAGCACGCAGTTCTGTGACAGGCCGCGCGTAAGGCAGGCAAGCGCACGACTCACGGGCGGCTAAGCGCTCAGGTCGAGGCAGTGGCGCACAGGCAGGGCAGGGCACGCGCTGCTGCGGGCTGCGCGCGGCAGCGGGCTGCGCGCGGCTGCGGGCTGTGCGTGGCAGCTGGCTGTGCGCGGCGACGGGCTGCGCGCGGCTGCGGGCTGCGCGCGGCGACGGGCTGCGCGCGGCTGCGGGCTGCGCGTGGCTACTGGCTGCACGCGGCGGCGGGTCGCGCGTGACAGCAGCGAGCACGCGGGCGGCCAGCTGGAGGTGGTCCTGCTCGGGGTGCTGTCTCTGGGGGTGCTGAGCCTGGGGGTGCGGAGCCTGAGCGAGAGGCGCCTAGAGGTGCTGAGCCTGGGGGTGCGGAGTCTGGGGATGCCGTGCCTGCGCGTGAGGAGCCTGGCGGTGCTGAGCTTGGGGGTGTCGAGTCTGAGGGTGCTGTGCCTGCGCGTGAGGAGCCTGGAGGTGCTGAGCTTGCGGGTGCCGAGTCTGCGGGTACTGAGCCTACGCGTGAGGAGCCTGGGGGTGCTGGCGCTGGAGGTTCTGGAGCAGCTGGGGGTGCTGGCGCTGAGGGTTCTGAGTCTGCTGTTGCGCGGTCTCCTTGGAGTAGCCGCCTTCGTCCACGTGTGCCTCTCACCCCACAGCAGCTGCAGGACTGGTACGGTCACCGTCAGCGTCGCGCTGCTGGAGCTAGGAGTGGTGCTGGACCTTTGTCTACTGGAGGTGCTGGAGTCGCTGGTTCTGGAGGTACTCGTACTGGAGACACTGAGGCTGGAGACCCTGGGACTGGAGGTGCTGGCTCTGGGGGTGCTGCTGCTGGTGACACTGAGGCTGGAGACCCTGGGACTGGGGGTGCTGGTTCTGGGGGTGCTACTGCTGGAGACACAGGGGCTGGAGACCCTGGGACTGGAGGTGACGACTCTGGGACTGGAGCTTCTGGAGCTGCTGGAGGTTCTGGAGCTGCTGGAGGTACTGGAGCTGCTGGGGGTACTGGAGCTGCTGGAGCTGCCGGTACTGATGCAGCTGCGCCGACACGACTGTTCTTCGCTCCGCCGTCTCCGTCGTCTCTGCCGCCGTCTGACTCTGTTCTTCGTCAGGTTCTTACTCTCCCGTCGTCTACTGGTCTTCCGTTACAGCCTGGCTCACCGCTGCCTGCTCCTTCTCCTTACACTGAGCAGACTGGTAGTCCTGCTGAGCGTCGTGAGCCTGTGTCGCGTCCTGTCTCGCCTGCTCGTCCCGGTCGTCGTGTTCCTCGTTCGCGTCAGCAGGCTGTCCCCAGCACACACCTCGTAGTTCGTCGTCCTTCCTCTGCTCTGCAGCCTGTTCCTCTTCCGTCTCCTCCTGCGTCCTCTCTACCTGACGTTCCAGACCCTGAGTCTGACCGGTTTCGTGCTGAGCACCCTACTGTCACGCGTCTGCTAGCCACTGTTGTCACTGACCCGTCGTTTGAGTCTACTGCTGCGTCTGCTCTTGTCGCTGAGCTTGTTGACTTTGCTGCTGCCTGTCGTCTAGACTACGCCGCCAGTCTTGTTGCTGAGTCTGCGTCTGTCTGTCCTCCGTCCGTCGGGGGTGAGTGTGCTCTTAGCACGGACGTCCTTGAGGACAGGCAGGAGGAGTTCCAGTGTCTTGCTGCTGCTTTACCTCATCTTGTGTCCTCGCTACTTGCCCCTGAGGGAGACCCGGATGCACCAGACATCCCGACTCCGCGCTCTTACGCAGAGGCGATAGAGAGTCCCTACTCCTCTCAGTGGCAGGCAGCCATGGACGCAGAGATGGCTTCCTGGAAGTCCACAGGCACCTATGTAGACGAGGTTCCCCCACCTGGGGCGAACATCGTCAGTGGCATGTGGATTTTCAGGGTGAAGCGGCTGCCGGGTTCTCCGCCTGTCTTCAAGGCGCGTTACGTGGCTCGAGGCTTCAGTCAGCGAGAGGGAGTTGACTTCTTCCAGACCTTCTCCCCCACCCCGAAGATGACCACTCTTCGGGTGCTGCTGCACGTTGCTGCTCACCGTGACTACGAGCTTCACTCTCTTGACTTCAGCACTGCTTTCTTACAGGGCAGCCTGCACGAGGAGATCTGGCTGCGCCGCCCCCCGGGCTTCACTGGGTCGTTCCCTCCTGGCACCCAGTGGAGCCTCCGACGGCCGGTCTACGGTCTCCGCCAGGCGCCACGTGAGTGGCACGACACACTGAGGACGACACTTGCGGCTCTTGGGTTTGCGCCTTCTACTGCTGACCCGTCGCTGTTTCTGCGCACAGACACTTCACTGCCGCCGTTCTACATCCTCGTGTACGTCGACGACTTGGTTTTTGCCACTGCTGACACTGAGGCTCTCGCCCACGTGAAGTCGGAGCTACAGAAGAGACACACGTGCACTGACTTGGGTGAGCTGCGCAGCTACCTTGGCTTGCAGATCACCCGGGACAGAGCACGCCGCACCATCACCTTGACTCAGTCACACATGGTGCAGCAGGTCCTTCAGCGCTTCGGCTTCACATGGTCTTCAGCACAGGCCACTCCTCTGGCTACAGGTCACACGCTCTCAGCTCCACCTTCGGACGAGTCCGTAGAGCCGAGTGGTCCTTACCCAGAGCTAGTCGGCTGCCTCATGTACCTGATGACTTGCACTCGACCTGACCTCGCGTACCCTCTTGGTCTCCTCGCTCGCTACGTGGCTCCTGGTCGACACCGACCTGAGCACATGGCTGCTGCTAAGAGGGTACTGCGCTACTTGTGCAGCACATCAGGCATGGGGCTAGTGCTTGGAGGGACGAGCCCAGTTGTCCTCACTGGGCACTCAGACGCTTCTTGGGTTGACGACCTGGCTACTCAGCGGTCGTCACAGGGTTACACCTTCAGCCTTGGCTCTGGTTCAGTTTCGTGGCGTTCTACACGCTCGTCTTCAGTTCTCGGCTCCAGTTGTGAGGCTGAGATCTACGCCACCGCCATGGCTGCACAGGAGTTACGCTGGCTCACCTACCTGCTGACTGACTTGGGAGAGCAGCCTCGTTCTCCTCCAGTGCTGTACGTTGACAACAAGGCCGCCATTGCCTTGTGTGAGGAGCACAGACTGGAGCACAGAACGAAGCACATTGCTCTGCGTTACTTCCTGGCTCGAGAGTTGCAGCAGCGAGGCCAGCTTTGTCTTCGTTACGTGGCCACTCGGGCCAACACTGCTGATATATTCACCAAGGCACTTCCGTCTGGTGATCATCAGCGCTTTTGTACTCTGTTAGGCCTTGTGCCTACGCTTCCACACTTGCTGTAGTTTCTGCTTGTACTGTGATCTATATACATATATACCTGCATGCTGGCTCTTGCTAGGTAGCTCGACACTGTACTGTCATTGCTGCATATATATCTCTGCATGTGAACTGGCCTTGTGGCCATTTGCTTGTGCTCAGAATGTGTGGTGACGTTGTGATCCACCCTGAGCTTGTTTTGTTTCTCTTGACTGGTCTTGTGACCCGTTGCTCTCCCCCACTTTGCCTATGGGGGTGTGTCAAATGATATATATGTGTGATACATATTGGTAGGCTGTAGTGGGGTAGATGTTATAGGGGATAACTCCTTAGGGTTGTGTTATTTGTACCATTTCTCTCGATAGTGAACCTCACCTTGCCTAGCTATCTCAACAGTTGGTGCACCCGGTGTAGGGAGGGAAGGCATTATCATGCTTAGGAGGCTGCATGCCATATGACAATAACCCAAGTGCTTTGCACTTTCGAAGTTTCAACCACAGCTTGCGGGTGGGAAACACAGGGTAGCATCTTCTCACCTAATGCTTAGTCATTGAAGTATACCACATGAACTATAAACAGTGTACAGCGGAGCTTACTATGAACAGCACCTAGAGCCCTAAGGCTAAAACCAAGTTGCAAAACACAATCTAGCCCAGCCCCGCTCCTTCAGTATCAAACACTATGGGTGGGGAAAAATAAATCCAGCTATATCCAAACCCGCTACACATTGCGGTTGCGGTGGATGCAGCACGGACAGATTAACTGCACTGGCGAACTCCACGCCAGTCGCACTCGCAAGCCAGCCCACGATATTAGTCTCTTCAAAGGAAAGCGGGGATCATGGTGAAGGGAGCGTCAGCGAGCGCAAAATCAAGATCGCACGCCACCCCCTCCTCGATTTTAAACTGCTCTCCTTCCGCGCCCTCAAAGCTCCCGCACGCATCTGCTCCGTTGACCCCGTTGACCGCGTTGACTGCTGCCTCGAAGGCAGGAGAGCCCGCGCCGCCCTCCTCCATCTCCGTGCGCTTTGCGAATCTCCCTTTCACACGCGGGCGGCTTTCCGCGTACGCCTTCCGCGACGCGTAGCGGATTGTCTTCTCGAACCGCCGCGCCTTGCGCTTTTCGCGGTACCGCATCACGCGCGCCTCGCGCGCAAGCGGGTGGAGAGGGCCCGGGCAAGAGAAGGTCGAGGGGGAGAAGGGGGAGGCGGGGGGGAGCGGGGAAGCGGAGGGGAGTGACGACGCGGAGGGGAGAGACGAGGAGGCGCGCAGCACGACGGGGCTTTCCGAAGCGGGGTGACCCGCGCGTGATGACGACGTAGCGCTGACGTCAAACGCGGCGGCGGTCGCGGCGGAGTCGGCGGCCTGTCTGCTGCTAGGAACGAGGTGCGTGTCGGCTTGAGAGGAAACGGAGAAGGATGGGGAGGAGTAGAGGGAAGGGGAACATTCCCGCCTAGTACCAGCCACGGCCGAGGCGCCTTCGTCTTGGGATTGCACCGGCACCACCATGCTCTCTTCAATGGCCTTCTTAGGCACCGCGGATTGCGCCGGCGGTTTCGCTGAGGCTAGTTTCGCGTCGACGGGCGTCACGCTGCGGTCGCCACCGCCGTACTGCTCGAGATCGAGGAACGGATCCACGTCAAACAGGAGATCTGACACGTCAGCAGCCTCCGTTTTGGGATATTTAGTAGCGGGATGTTGCGCCGCGTGTGCCGGACGGTGGAGGAGGGGAAGCGTGGAGGGGACGTGCGGCGAGGCCGGATAATGCGGCGGCATGTGCGGCGACATGTGCGGTGGCATGTGCAGCGGCATTTGCGACGGCATGTGCGGTGGGAGGTGCGCGTAGGGGAAGTAAGGCGACGGTACCATCGGCCGCGGAGGCACAGTGCCGGCCATTTGCATATGCTGCGCCATATACGGAGCCATAAACGGCGGCATGTGCAGCGGCATGTGCGGCGGGAGCATTCGCGGTGCAGCAGACGCGGCTGAGTGGTGAGGGTAGAGGTGGGAATGGAGGGGGTAGAGCCAATTAGCGTTTCGACCACCCGCCTCGGTGCTCGGCGTCTCCTCTTCCGCTTCCTCGTCTTCCTCTTCCTCTACCTCCTTCTCCACTCCTTTCCTCGAGACGGCCGCGTTTGCCGCCGTTGATTGCGGCAGCGCTTGTCCTTGTCTCGAGATTAGCTCCTCTTGCTCCTCAGAAGGCGACGCGAACTCTGCGGCGGCATTTGCGCCAAGAAACGCGGCGGGCTGGACGCAGGCCGGTTTACAGCTTTTGATGGACGAAGGGCACTCGTAGAACGGGACGACCGGAACGCGCTCGTGGCGATTCGCGAGTGGGTTCGCCTCGTGAATGTCAGCGTCGCACGTTGCACAAAGAGCCGCAGCGTCGGCTTTGCAGGTTACCGCGGCCGGTGACATTTCGCAGACTTCGCAGACCCACACGCGCTCGTGGCGAGAGGCGAGCTTGTTCGCGCCATGCACCTTGCCGTCGCACGCCAGACAAAGGTACGCCGAGTCGGCTCTGCAAAAGATTAAAGCCGCGCTCGATTGACACGCTTCGCACGGCTTCGGCATGGTTGCTGAGAGCCAGAGGCGAGGCGAAATGCTATTGCGAGGAGAGAAACTAGTCTATGCGTTAGGATAGTAGTCAGTTGAAGTAAGCGGTTATTGCAGCACGTGAACAAGACTTTTGTTTAGGTAGTTGACAAATAAGAAACTAGAAATCGAGTGGCTTATGGCAGGAGAAGGATACTTCTATGCCAAAAGAGTTCGTTGACGAGCGATGGAATGAAAGAACGAACGAGCTGGCGTTTCAGTTGGTTGGTTGAGGCGAGACGAGGTGGAGTTGGTGGTGCGATGCGGTGCGGTGCTGTTTGCTTCAAACGATCAGTGAGATTGGGCACACGAGGTCCTGCCAGCTCCCCTCCAATGGTAACCGTTCGATGGAATCACATATGGCCGAGGTTCCACCACAGGTTACAGGATAGAACACGGGGTGGTGAGAGATGAGATGGGATTGGCGATAGGGTAAGATAGAATGGGGCGGGGACGACTGTGTGATTGTGTGGAGGGGTAAGGGCGACCAAAGGTCCGCGGATTCAGCAGCTTTGGGTTGATGGTGGCCGCACAAGACCAGCATATCAACGGGCGAATGGGAATCGACTTTTAGCTCAGCGTCAACTGACCAGGACTGAGCTCTACACCACCTGCCCCACCTTCACTACGAACTGTATCGGGGGGGCATATGGCACGTGATGTGAGAACAGCCTGCCTTTATTTTGGCCACGTCCGAAGCAACTCTTGGAGGGTGAGTTACCCAGAACAAGACATCGAAGTCATGTGGCTGAAGGGCACGGTGGAACAATGGAAGCCACAAATTAAAAATCCGATCGTTCAGTGGTGGTGGATATCTTGGCAGACTGCTGCACCCCTCAACCGAGCCGCGGTAGAATGCTTTTATGTCGGGCGGAGTCTCCCACAGATATCGACGGCAGAGAGCAGAGCAAACGAGCTTCGTGAGGTGGAATTTGTGGTGGGGGCAGGGAGAATCCTGCGCTACATGGAAAGGCATTTCATCAGCCTCATACTTTCGAGGCGCAAAAGGGCCATGCTGCAAGCTGTTGATTGAATCCACATTTCAGCCACAAATTCCACTAGAAAGATGTTCAGTTTGTCGCGTCATGGAATTATTATCTGAAACGAATGGTCAGGGAGGGGATATGACATTGGATGTATCCAGTCCGCTCATTCACTGGAGGCATGCCCAGGTCACGTACGGTCGACCAATACGGTTGAACGTGAAGCCAACAGTGAACGGCTGGAAAGTGACATCTACACGCCTGGCAAAGCAGCGTACGGTTTCGTCGTGCGCTTTAAAAGTTTCGGGGCATCTTGAGTTCGGTTGTGAAGTGAACTGATTTGGTGGTGGGTGAACTCTTCGGCCATTATCTCCGATACTCAAATTATGCCCGGAGCGTTTTTCGTTCATACTCAACCTGTATTCCTCATCGCCGATTGGCTCTCGCTCTTTAATCACACTTTCTACGCTAATAATACTGTTGAAATGTGATAGAAACAGAACCCGGTTACTGAACGCAGTTACCACATTAAATTACGAAAAATTGTATCGAGCTTTCGATGTGAACTTAAAACTCGCGACTCATATTTACAAACGTTCTACACTTATACCCTGACGTTTAACACTTGGCTGGTTTGCTCGCCCGTGATTGGTGAAGCAAAAAAGTTACCCCAGCTCGTCATAGATTTTGTAGTTCGCCAACCAATCACGGAATCCTAAATCCAACCAAGTCTTCAACAGTTTTCAACTTGAGATGAAATCTTTCAATCCATATCTACGCGCCCTTGGATCGGAGCTTAACTTCCGTAAAGAACAATAAGTATATTAACACTCATAAAAAAACTGCAGGCAAAAGCGAAGGCATCAACCTTAAATATTTGGTAGCTTCCTGCGTTTATGTTTGATTTTCCCAAAGTGTATTCAGGTTATCTAAGTGTTTCATTTTATATCTTGTTTTGTTTGCAGGGGTATGTGCAGGTGAGGTGTTAGTGGCAACTTTGTTTCAGTTTTGTGCCTATAAAAACAATTAAACAGTATATGTGAGCAATATAACGAGAAATTGCTGGTTGAGTACGAACGAAAAACGCTCCGGGCATAATTTGAGTATCGGAGATAATGGCCGGTGAACTCTTTCTTCTGGCTGAATTGTTCTCCATTGACGGTGAAACCGGACTCCACGATACTTGGAGCCAGCACCTGCCGTCGAAGGTGGTGGTGTCAACATCAAAGATTCTACCGCTCTTCTAGAATCAAGAATCTCCTTCTGCGGCTGTCTATCTCAGACCAATCCCTCACTTCCACGTCACAAACACGCAAGAACCGTCAAATATGTGTTTGAAAGACTCGGATCAAGCAAACTGCAAGGCAATCAGCTTGCAATCAGCTCGGATCAGCTCGGTTCACTCGTTATATGGAGATACCGTATCAGCATCTGATCCAGAAAAATAGATTAACTCTGGTTTCTACCATGTGAAATCGAATGAGTTGGTGCCAAGACTAGAATAAAATGAGGTGCTATGCTGTAAAGATAACCTTAATCCTGTAATGGGGTGACCTAAAATGCACTGATGTGTTGATTTGAAAATAGAACATAGGTATTAGACACCGCATACATTCAATACTAGCTTTTAAAAAATTGTTCTGTCAGAAACCGAATGATGATGGACTATTGTGGGTTGGGGTACATGAACCTAACCCTAACTGCTGCACCCCATATGACACGCATCACTAAATGCCCACCTACCGCTACCCCACGCCTGTGCCTCTGCCTGTGACGTGCTGCGCTGCGCGCGCCGTCTGCCTGTAGCCTACTGCCTGCTGCCTACTGTGTTGTCTGCTGCTGCTACCGCGCAGACCTAAGTAACGCACGCTGCCCGCTGCTGCCTCGAGCGTCGCCCTCGCTGCTCGCGCCGCTCTGCTGCCCCTCACACGCCGTCAGCGCAGCGCACAGCCCCCAGCGAGCCGCGTGCAGCCCCGTCGAACCGCGTGCAGCCCCGTCGAGCCGCGCGCAGCCCGGATTTGCCGCGCGCAGCCCCCGCCGAGCCGCGCGCAGCCCCGTCGAGCCGCGCGCAGCCCCGTCGAGCCGCGCGCAGCCCGTTTTCTGCTGCGCGCAGCACCGTCGAGCCGCGCGCAGCCCGTTTTCTGCTGCGCGCGGCCCCGCCGAGCCGCGCGCAGCCCGTTTTCTACTGCGCGCGGCCCCGCCGAGCCGCGCGCAGCCCGCTGCTGCCGCGCGCGACCCCCCCCGAGCCGCGCGCAGCCCCTGCCGAGCCGCGCGCGGCCTGCTGCTGTTGCGCGCAGTCCCTGCCGAGCCGCGCGCGGCCAGCTGCTGCTGCGCGCGGCCTGTTTCTGCCTCCCGCAGCCCGCGCTCGGCCCACAGCAGCCCCGCGCGCTGCCCTGCATAGCCTGCAGCTGCATCGGCCCCGACCTTCCGCTGCTGCGGCCCCTCGCTGCTGCTGCCGAGGCTCCGACCTGCCGCTGATGCGGCCCCCACTCTGCGACTGCCGCTGAAGCGGCCCCCCACCCTGCAGTTGCTGCGGCCCTACTCTACTGTCGCTGTTCCGGCCCCATCGCAGCTGCGGTCGTGCTTCTACTGGCGCCCCACCCCTCCTACAGCCCGTTCTCCTGAATTAGGGTTTGGGGGTGAGGGGTATGGGGGTGAAGCCACTGAGTGCCGTTCCCCTCCTCCTCCTCCTTCTCCGTCTCCCACTGCTGCAGCTGCCGCTGAGGGGGGTGGGTGTGTGGGAGCCGAGGGAGTGGCGCTAGGGGGTGTAGTGTGAGCGGTGCTAGGGGAACAGCAGGGGGTGTGTAAAAAGGGGGTGGGACAGCTGGGGGAAGTTGAGAGGAGGCCGTCGACTTGTCGTCCGCAGCGCCTGAAGTCCAGGGAGCCACGACCCCCTGTGGCCTGAGTAGTCCGGGGCTCTGCGCCCGGTAGCTACAGTGTGTGCACTCCTGGGAGCACAGCGAGCCAGCTGCGACCCCCTGTCGCCGTGTAGTCCGGGTTTAGCCTGGTAGCGTCAGTGCGGCGTACTCCTGCTGCCTGTGTGTCTGCAGCTTCAGCCGTCGCCTCTCATCTTCTTGCTCCCACAGTTTCTCCTCCTCCTCACTTGCCCTCTGTGATAGCCTCTAGCTTTGCTTATAATTGTGAACTATTGCTCTGTCTGCTTGTTATGTTGATTGTACCCCACTTTGACTATGGGGGTGTGTCAGAATGTGATGGTTGTCTAGCCTGCAGTGGGGTACTCTATAGCGAGTATAGCCCTTCTAGGGTTTGCATATATGTATCCCTATGCTTGTTAGTCAAAACCCTTCTTGCCTGTTTCTCGTTTTGGCCTAGCATTTTGACAAATGCTACAACATTTGACACACCCTCATAGCCTCAGTGAGGGATGTCAAACAAAACCAAAACCATACGGTCACAAGACCAGTCTCAAAGAAACTAAGCTCAGGGTGGATCACAACGTCACCACACAGTCCGAGCACAAACAAGAGTCACAAGGCCAGCCCAAGAGTTCGCAGAGGTATGTGCAAAGCGTACAAACAAAGCAAGCAGATTACACAAGTCTACACAAGACGAGAACTTGTGTCAACGAGACCTAACTGCACACAACACCTCTGGTGATCACGAGACGGACAAAGTTTGCAGTGTTGGCCTCGGACTCAACAAAGTCCAAGCAAGCCTGTCCATGCCTCTACAACTCTCGTGGAAGAAAGTACCTAACGTTGATGTGCTTCACTCTGCTCTCCAGTCGAGGCTCTTGACAGAGGAGAATCGTCACCTTGTTGTCAGTAAACAAGGTCGGTGCAGAGCTCGGCCGCTCACCAAGGTCGGTGAGCAAGAAGGTCAACCAACGCAACTCCTGTGCCGCCATGGCTTCAGCGTAGATCTCAGCCTCAGCGGTAGAGGTCGAGCCAAAGGAGGAACGCGTGTACCTCCACGAAACAGCTCCAGAGACCAGGCTGAGGCAGTACCCCTGAGTAGACCTGTGAGTCTCGGCGT